CACACAGACTGTGAGTAAGGAAAAACAACTGACGAGATCCAGTCCCTTTATCAGCCATTTCCGTAATGCAGTGGCAATGAGGTCCGAAGCTGTGCTTGTGTGATTCGCTTGATCAGTCCGTTAGAACCATTTTGTTTTTGATTCTGTGTTACGCTGTCTGGAAATTGTGCAGGACTTATCAGAGACTTGCTTGTTACTCGTGATTAATACTTAATAAAAACTACGGAAATAAGCACCTGGCTCTATTAAAAGGGGTTTTTTCAGCCTGATTTGTCCCAGTGAAATGGACCATTAGTATTCATGGTATAATACTACAACTTTAAAGCACATAGTCCAAAGTAACTATCTCAGTTAGTAACGTTTATTCGACGCCAGCTTTCAGACCTTCCGCTTTAAGTTTGTGATGCAAGGGAAAGTAAGTTTTTCTCCGAATTCTACAAGAATACCATAGTTTTCATGGACATAATATGATGGCGTTTTAAGATTAGGCGAATGGGTGACTGTGTGCGAGCCAACGGATACCTTTGACTTCGAATCTGCATGCTGGGCCACTCAGCTTTTCAGTAAATAAAGTTTCATTCTTTAAGTTATTTATCATATCACTGTATATGCTTCGTGCGTAATAAACTAACGGATGAAACGAAGCTGTGCCTGCAAGACTTTATACTATATGAATCCTTATTTGAGCCAAAGTATACTTGTGAAGTTGAGCAATCTGTACTTGTCACTTCAAACCAAGCTTCATTCGCTTAAGTGTCAACCGAATCGGGCTTTAACTGGATAGTCCACTGCTAGCTTTGACAAAGATAACCCTTAAGCACTTACATTGTGTTAGATGATGTCCAGCTTCGACAACCCGGGCTAATTACATTTTCGATAAACCCTGAATTGTGAATTATATATTGAAACAGGTTAGTGGAAAGCAGCTCAAAATTGTCGCACTACGTGTAGTTCATGGTTTGCATAGTGTTCCTGCACAATATCAAAGCGAAACATTTCATAGAAGAAGCTTCTGTTCCAAGCCTCAAAAGAGTAGTCGACAGGTTGCTTTGTCAGTAACTCTTCCCTATGCAGTGTTCTGTACGACTTTTTCATCGCCTGAAGCGCTGTTGGTATGTAATTCCTAGTTTCAGGCTTTCACCCCGGATTATTTGCTGATCAATCTGTGTAGTCACGATCACTGCTAACCATCGTTCTGATTTTCTCATTGGTTGGCAACCTTGCTGCCAGTAAGATGGGTGAAACTGTACACCACGAGAAACAGAAGATCCTACAGAGTTTAACGCTTAACTAGGGTACAATACAAAGAAATGTTGGAATAAGATAAAATCACCGGAAACTTTTCACAGGAGGAGAATCCATGTTATTAGAAGCCATCTGATGGCGAAAAAGATATCAAATAATAATGCACCATTAGTTCGTAACTGCTGTGAAAAGCTCATGGTCTCAGTGTGAGCCTTGTATCATTTGCCTTCAGTAGAAATACCGGTTGTGGACCGTCTCGAGTTGCCGCAGACTGATAGCTTTGAAAGCGCCCTGTGGGTCGTGTAGGTTGAAAACGAAAGTCTGCTGGAAGTGAAACAAAACTGATAGTTTTGCGATTTGTGCTTTTCCACTATCATCGAAAGGATCAAATGAATTCGATATACCAAACAGTTTTGGACAATGGACAATGGACAATGGTTTGTTACGGGTAAAAAAGCATCGCTTAACAAGTCCCGTGGGATTGAAATTATTGCGAACATCAATTGCATAATAAAGTGAAAAACGTTGTGGTGGACTTACCATAGACTTATGTGGAATAGCGAAGATGTTCCCATATCAAATGTATAAATCCATAAATCCATTGGTTAGGCGTTTGGCAAGATACCGTTTGATTGCGTTTTGTAGCCCCTGGCTAAC